TGGACTGCCTCACCTCGTCTTATCTACTACTGAGGACGACGCAATGATAAGAGCATGACAATTAGAGGTATGCTTGTATGAGTGTGTGTGTGTGTGTGTGTGTGTGTGAGTGTTGAGATGCGTGTCAACGTAACAATCGCCTACTTTGATGCTCATGAACCAAATGCGCTCGGAGGAGGATGTCGTTCTTGAATGCCGAGCCGCATGTATCGCACACGTAGGAGGCAATCTCGGTGAGGGGTGGTGAGGGTGCATCGGGATCCATGGCGGAGGTGACAGTTTGCGTGGTGGAGAGGCAAGGCGGCCGATCGGATTTCTCCTCAGTCCTACATGTGCTCACACCGAGGCGAAGCACTGATCGCCACCTCCGACGTGAAATTCGAGTGGAGCGACCACTTGAGCAATAATTACTGCCCACTAGGCGCTCCTTTCGCGTGACTACTCATTGCTGACCACCTCTTACCCATTTAGCCTTTCTCCTCTCCACGAGAATCGTATTTTGCTTCTCAAATGGTGTCCTCATGAAATGCGAGTTGGTGTTACGCCACGTTGCAGTGGCTGAGGAAGAGAACCCACTTCACGCCTCGCAGTCATGTGACATCGACATGACATGCCAATACGATGAGGTGTAGTGTCGTCCCTCTTACTGCCTGTGTGGGGGTTTGGGAGGTCAGCAAACGCCTTCCATATTGACAAAATGTGGGCGAAAGTGTGTGTCGAACAAACCGCCTCTCGCAGTGGGTGAGGGGTGGGGGAAGAGCTTGCAGACAAAAGTAGATGCGTGCATTTGTCAAAGCAGAGGACGTCCACACCGGAGAAGAACTTCAGCCAACTCTCTTCACCACACCAACTCCAGACTGCGATTCATGCTGCAAGAAACGGTGTGGCCTGACAAGTGCAGTAGGTCATTCGGAGGCACTCATGCTGGCCATCTCCTTTGATCTACTCAACCTTCCATTCACATTCGTCTTGCTAGCTCTGTGGCTCATTGTCACCCTGGTGAATGTGACGTGGTAGATCTAACGGCGGTGTGACATGCACACTCACTAGTGTCGCGCCTCTGCCTCATGCCGCAACAGACTTGCTGGCCTCCAACCTGCATCAATGCGGAGCAGATGCATTCGGATGCTGCCACTGGCACTAAATGTGGCCTGTCGGTGAGCAGGACTATGGAAAACGCGTTGACCATTTGTGCCAACTGAAAACTCGACCACCTACCACCACCACCACTACTTGTGACAAACCATCCACAACACCTCAACAGACATTCGGTAGGTGATGCCATACCCTTTCGCGTTTGCGTAGTTCCTTTTAAACTTGTGGCATTCAAAGTGATTGGCATGTGGAGATGCTACGCTGAAAAGCATGTCTTGACTACTCTTTGGTCTGCGAGAACTTCCCTTGTGTGTGAGGCGCATGACTGGAAGGAGTGCAGAAAGGCTACGTGCTCGTGACGATGTTGTGGCATGCAGACGTAATTGGCACATTTTGTGCCCAACACCGCCACCTCCCCTATGCCTGACCATTTCGCCACACCTCCAGCATCAGCGACTGACTGCCAACACGCTTATTCAGCCAACAAATGACTGAGGTGAGACGATTCGTCCACTTCTCCATAATCGCCATAGGCACAAACGGAACTCGTGCACAAATGTCACACCACCGTGTGGACCTATGCCAGCTGAGTTGACCAAGATGATGAGCCCCAACTGCCGACCTTTTGATTGCTCCGTTGGTGGTTCCACTAGCACTCAGTCGAGGTCACAGTGTCGTAGTCACTGATACGCATGCGCCATGTCGCACAAGTAATTCCATCTGCCACCTCCTCTATCCCTGCTACAAGAGGGAACCACATTTGTTTGTGCTCTCGAGAAGAGCCTTTGTTTTGGCGATTATGCGAGGCCCAAAGCATGGTCGATGGAGACCAGCTTTTGACAGCACTGCGGAAAGTGAGCTAAGGTTGCTAATCAGTGCATTGGAGGTGGCACTGTGGGGAGAATTCGCAATGGTAACGTCACTTGTCACAGCTGCTACTTCAACCCATTTTCTGTGTGTGAGTCTCCTTTTATGTGCACTTCATCAACTATTATCTGTCCATGGCTCAACACGAGTAGTGGGATGAAGTGAGAGGTATACCCAGGCATCTGATAAACGTCGCGTTCGGTTGCCCTCATTTTGTGTGCGACAAGTGAATTGTCACTCAGCCTCTACAACGTGCTAGTCTGC